CTTCCCTGCAAATTTCTGTGTGCGTTCAGTAAGATCATGCAAGACCAGGGCTATAACTAAGACACACTTTAATTGGTCATCACAGGGACAGCACTGACTGCAGGTGATTCGGAGAGCCAGTACTGGGCACCAGGAACAAAATACTCTCTCGGGCCAACTTTTTATAGAGAGAAATCTCTGAAGGGACTGTGTGCATGAAGTCCTAGGTGTGAAAGGCTGGAGTTTTCCTAGCAAAGTCTGCAGTAGGCAACAGTCTGGTAAAAAATGATTACCAATGGACTGCACTGAACATTGGTCTTAAGGGATTCTGGCCATTTTTGCTGCAGTTAAGCTGCCTGCAAAACAGACAACCCTGTAAAAATGCTGGATTAAGACAGCGGAGAGATGTTGCATTCTACAAGCTTGATCTCATTTCATTTCTCGTTTTGTTTGCTGTGTATCTCACAACAGGCTGTCTCTACAAAGCATTTTTTAAAAACCTATACCTCTACCTTTTAATTTGAGAGACTGAAGTCTGACTAATATGCTGAGCTGGAGCACAGTAGACAGCTGATGTACAAAGACCAAAAAAGGGGCAACTCCTTTCAGGGAGTGGCACCACATTCTGGCCTTTCCTTGCCTCCTGAGCACCCTTCTCCCAGAAGTCTTCAGCTCCCCAATTGCCTCTAAAACATCAGTTTGGGGTATCAAACAGAAGCTGCAACATCTGCAAAAACAAGTAATGGCTTATGTGTGTACAAACAGATGGCTTAGATGGGACAAAACAACCCATTCTGCCTGGATCCCAAGTGAATACAGGCCTCTTGGGTGGAAATAATGAGTAAATTACAGAGTCCATTGACCAACACTTGTAACAGCTCTGGAAGTCAAACTCCAAGTTTATACAGAGGTTCTGCTAAGAAAAGCACTACATGTGTTACAATGCTTGCGTTCAAATTAGTGGTCACTTTATTTTTTTTAGGTTCATGCACGTACTTTGGCTGCATTCTGTCAATGTCAACTTGAGACCTGGTTTGCATCCTTGCCTGCTCTGGTCTCCCATCAAGAGGAGCAATGACAAGCCCAGAGGTAGCCATGGTGCGCCCAGCAGGTCCTGTGGTCTATGCAAGCACGGTACCAGAAGGACAGGGCAGGCCACAAACACACCAGTTATGCAGAGACAGACTAATTCACAGGGCTCCCAAATCTCTCAATCACAATATATGCTCACATGCCTCCCCCAGACTCTCCATCGCTGCAGTTTAGAACAAAATTCCTGAATTTCAATTTGAAGATTCCTGAAAATCCACTGGGGGTTCAGAGAAAAAGGCCCGTTATTAAAAAAAGCCAACAAGAAACCAACAACATCGAGCATCTGTATTATTAAAGCATTGGGGCGGTTACTATCAGTAAGAGAATTGATTTGCTTCCTGAGAAACCCTGATGACTCAACCATTCTGATCAACTGCCTCAGGTTCACGACAAACCATCTCAGAACAGTATCAGCAACAATTTCCTGGAGCACACAATCGTCTTCAGCCTCTTCCCTCTCCTGGTACAATAACCAGACCTCACCTGAAAAAGAAAGAACTGTCCCACATGCCATCCATACTGCCAGGGTAAACATCCATTCAAATGCACTGCATACAGTCATGCTTTTTATAAGCTTCACTTCCAAAAAGAAGAATAAGCACTGGCAGTCCATCACCTGGGAGATATTTGGGTATAACAGAGCAAACTACTAACTTGGAACAGATAAAGCTTTTCTGACTATCCTTTCACAAGCCCCTGTAAGTGAGGGCTGAGAGGTGCCCCAGCTGCCTGTAGGTACAACAACGTACCTGCAGGAACAGTAAGGGTGTCCTCCAACAACAGTGTGCCTGAGCTAGTAGGCTGTGCCAGGAAACCCAGGGGACTGAGTGCCTCAGGTTGGTACTAGCTCAGGGATCTACGTACTATGCTCCACTGCAGCCCATAATTACAAGACCATTTCTTCAAATGGCTACATTTAACACAAAGCACATTTGTATGCCCAGTGAAGTAGAAGAGGACTAATATATGAAAGGACTTTAATCTAAATAATGGCTTGCAACCACAGGAAGGTGCAATATTTCAACACAGATAAATAAAGCCTGGATAAATCTTCTGCTCTGCATATAAAACAAAACAGCCATGGTACATCACAGCTGTAACCCACATATGATGACCAAGGTTACTTTTGGGTTTGTTCAGTACAGGGGACCAAGGATCCTCCTAAAGCGCAGACAAAACAAACAAAAGCACAGTTCTCTGATTCTAGTATAGGTATAGTGTTTCCCCACCCATGTGAGTGGTCACAACTTTTATGTATTTTTAAAAACCCCCACCATGTCCTCTGATCATTTGTTAAGGCACTTTCCATAGGGTGGATGAATTCAGATAGTATGTTTCTTAATGTAGAAGACATCTTATAAAGTCAAAGAAAAAGAGAAGCTGTCTCCTAAAATATCGAGAATGGCTTCAATGATCCCAGCAAGGTTTGGGACCTTCTGAACCTTCAAGGCATCTTCATGCTGCAGCTCTGAAAACACTGAGAGCGTAGACCAGCACCACTAATTTCTCACAGTTTCTCTCTAGACAAAAGGAAGGGACTTTCCGCCAACGTTCCAGTACCAACAGGTCATACTTGGCTTCTCCCCTCCTTCCCGGATTCACTGGGACTGCAGGCTCTGGCACAAAGAGATGTCTTCTACTGTTTATCTGCAACCACAGCATTTCACCTCCAACCGTTCGCACCACCAGTCGTGGTTAAGTCACCGATCTAGACAGGAGCCACCTTAACAGGAATTTTGGATGGGTCTTAGTGAAGGGGAGGAAAAAAGAGGACATAATGTTTAATTATAAGAAATGATTGAAATAGGCACAGACATACCCCGGGTGCCTCTGCACTGCAGCAAGCTCTAAACTTGTTATCGTTAATGGTTTAAATTTCACTGTGCTAATCATTTCAGGACACAAGCCTTTCTTGATAATCTAATGAATTATTCCAACATCCTTCAGCAAAAAAAATCCTCCATGACAGCACTAATTACAAGACGTTTTCCCAGTGCTTATGTAAAATATGACAGAGCAGCAGCTTAGGGAATTGCAGAAAACTGCTTCTAATTTCCACTGAGAAACTGACAAACACCTCTCTTTCATCTCTCCCAGCTCTCAAGTAAGATTTAACTTTCTCATTTAGTTAATTACCGAGTGAGGATCATCATTTTCCCGGATCGGAGCAGCACAGAGCCTTTATCGTGTTAACTTGTGAACTTGATCGATGGCTGCTGCTAAAACTTAATAACTTCACCCCCTGGCAAATTGTAAGATAAATATAATAGGAGAAACTCTGACAGTAAAAACCTGCCAGAAATGAGCGCTGTGTTTATGTTTCTTTGCAGGCAGCAAAAAAA